TTTTTGTCATTAACCTTTTTCGGACCACTTATTTATTTATTTTGGTGACGATCCGACCTCCATGCTGCTACTCTGGTTCAAACTGCATCCACCAAACAATATGATTTATCTCTCCCTCCCCAAAATAACCAAAATCTGACACACTGTGTGAGATGTCTTTTTTAGCTGTTCCGTCGTCATTTCCTGCGATCTTCTTCATAAAGTCAGTCGAAATGAATGAATGAATGGGCGTTTCTTTGACTATTTATAGGCAAATATGGGCGTTACGTGAAGCCCGCAAAAGCTGCGCCGCATTGCGAGTCGATTGTGATTTATAAAGGGAAACAGGCGTATGAAGTGCCATACGCACTGTCACTACCCGATCCGTCCCCCTGCCCGATCTGTACTGCACATGTGCGAGATGGTCCGCCATATTGGAGAACTCCGGACGGAGTGCTACCAAGCAAGCATCCTCGCGATTGAGAAACGGCCACGGTGTCAAGTGTCCTTCTTGAGTTGTCGTCCGGAGTTCTCCAATATGGCGGACCATCTCGCACATGCGCAGTACAGATCTGGCAGGGGGACGGATCGGAAAATGTCGGAACATTTCTGTAGCTTTTTTTTTGCTTTGTATTATGTAAGCAACCTTCCCACGTGAATCCTACGCAACGCGTTATAAATGAGGCCCCTGGCCTGGATAAACTAAACTAACGTAATTTGGGTTATAAGCTCATTTCTGTAAATTGATCTGCAGTAATCTCTTTCATCAGTACAACAGTATAGGGCAGACTTAATATTGATACTAGGTTTGAGCTTGTCTATTTAAGGGTGGTCTGCTTATGTCCTGAACCTCTTTTAATAAGATTATCTTTACCAAGAGCCACAGCTTGGCACACGACTATGATTATTTGATGGTTTGGCAAAGGCATCATTTATGCACGTCATTGCATCTTAACACGAAGGTGATCTTTAGCTTAAATGATACTGTGACAAAGTATAGATACTGTCTAGATGTCAAAGGAATTGTAGCTTATTGTAAATAGCCTAATACATAAATCACTTGTTTTAACAGTCATTTGTTTATTTTATATACTTTACTCTCTACCAAGATGTAGTTTAAAGACTCTTTAAATAAAGTTCTGTGATGAATAAATGCCACTTGACTTTAAATAAATAACTGACATGTCTTAGCAGGCTGACATTCAGTTTGATAATGAGACCTTGATTTCATTACAATGTTTCTGTTTACTTAATTGAAGATACCTTACACAAGCATTACTCGAGGATGTAAGGTGATTAAATAATGATTGTTTTAAACCACACTGCGTAAGAGGTGTGTTTAATGGTGGCTTCTTGAAATCGAGCCCTGACAAGTTTTTACACATAGAGCCTAATCTTCTTCTTTGGCTAATTTGAGTCCCAAGGAATTCAATCCCTACCTAAAGCTACCTTATAAGCTTTGCTCGCATCCGTTGATGTCACCATGCATCACACATGCATCACACATGCATCACACATGTCCACACGGGCAATCAAGTTCAAACTGGCTAACACACACACACACACACACACACACACACACACACACACACACACACACACACACACACCACACACACACACACACACACACACACACACACACACACACACACACAGGCCAAAGGCCTTTGCCCACCTAACCATTGTTTTATGGGTGAACCTCCCATTGATTCATGTCAGACATCTCATTTAGTTTTTCTACACCTCACACTCTCCAAAACCACACACCCCTTCAAAAGAAAAGCCCTATAGATGTAATGCTACTTGAACTTATACTACTACGTACATCTGATATGTAACTCCTTCAGCCTACTTTCAGCTGCACAAACTATTCAACTATTAACTTATTCAGCTATTTCAGGACATTGAGGCTATACATGTTGTTGTTTATACCTTTTTTTAAACTTTTCTTTTAAATATTAAGCTTCTTCACTATTTTTCCTACTCTTCCAGTTTAACATTTCACTTTCAAGTTTTCAACAAAGTCATTGCAATGCATTTGAGCTGTAACAATTTGATTCAAATCATTTATCTTTTCTGCATTTCTCCGCTAAGTTCAGCAACACACTTACTTGGTTTTTGTAGCTAAAAGCAGCTACCATTCAGCTAATAACATATTCAGCTTTTTCTGCATTTTCAGCTAAATTCAGCCACAAATGTTTACAGTTTACAGCATTCACACGCATTTTCTGCAGGAAATGCATTTTCTAGTTGCTCTCTAGAGTCTCTGAGACACACATGAGTGGGAGCCCACTTTAAGTAGAACTAATCACACCTGTTAATCCCTGCTTGATGGAATATGAAGGTCATATCTCCTGTAGACCGCTTTACAGTCTGTTCAAGACTCCTGTATGAAACAACCGCAAATAACTTATGGTCACTTTTTTCCAAAAAACAATACAGCTGTGGTTTAAAGTGCTTTCAGTGACGCACACTAAAAAGGTTATCATCCCCTTTGGTAACATATTTGATGGAACACTGTAGCTTAATTAAAAAATATGTTACTCAGTCCTAGGTACAAGGGAAGCCGGGAATAGTGAAAGGAAGAAGTGGAACACTAAAATACAACATATACAAATTATCAAAATGAACACCTTGCTTTACACATTTCCAAAACTGAAATCTTGGCTATTTAGTGTGAAGATGATTAGACTGTATCAATAATTTGTGGCTGGAGTAAAACGGCTGAAGAGCTTAGCTCATAATTGGAAGCCTATGGAAAGTCTTTATCTTGTCAACAAGATGCAGCAGGATAGACACTTAAGATGTAGGCCACGGCTGTCTAGCTCATGAACAAGTAGTCATTACTAAAGTAGACATAATACAATAAACACATGCTCTTATGTCTTCATTTCTTAATTTTCAATGTCTAAATGTCAGCAGGAACATCATAAATGTATCTGAATTGCAAACATCTGTAATAACTAGTTGTAAAAGGAAGCTTCACAAACATACACATTTAAAAAAAATCATATTGTTCTTCATTTTTCATGTTAAAAGCACCCAACAGCCAACGCCTTTATTTTTTTACTAAACTCCAATGTTAATTATTCTTTATTTAGCATATGTCTGAACTTTTAGGAGTTAATTGACCTTGTTTAATATCTGTCTCAGTTTAATCCTGTACGGTCCTTCATGAAGCACAGTATACCCTTGTTAAAGGATATTTTGTGGATTATTGTCATGGGACCTATGTTGCCAGTGGATTTGGGATTTAAGGGGATTCAAGAAGCTGTAAGATAATTAAAAACTCCCTGATCAGCCGTACTGTTCGTTGCTGTTGCCATATATTGTCTTCCTAAGACTCAGTATTTTTGGTATGCTTTGTACTTAACACCTCCTTGACTTTTAATCTCTGTACCTAACAAAGAATTAATAAGGCTCTGCACATTAGACTCATAGGACTTAAGACCACCTTATAACAGAAGATCTGTTTAAATGACTCCTGCCATGTGGACATTGGCCAAAATGTCCAACTTTAAGAGTAATTGTAAGTGTAATATTCCTGATCTAAGGCCATTCATGTGATTGACTTCAGTTCCATTGTAGGACACACACTGTATAACAGTTAAGCTCACCCCAAAGGTACAAATGTTTCACCAAAAAAGTTATTTATAACCCCCATCTTTGTTATGCTATGCCCCCTTCTCAAAGATCTGGAGATCCTTCAGAAAAAGCTAACTAGCTGTGCTGTTCAAACCAGGGAAATCCTTCATTACCTCCTCAGTGTCCTCTAGTGGTGATGCAGAGGCCTTGCAGACTGTAGTTCTTTATCTAGATCTAATACTGTGTGTATTATATTCTTCCAATGAAACTTTTTCTATGTAAATTACACAAACGTATTGTTACAACTTGATGTTAAAATATCTACTCAGTGATTTTTATTTGTATATACATATTCCCTCATTTCCCTGAGATCTAGTGGATGCTTGTTTCAGAAAGGTGAGATCTACAATGTCCTTTTTTTCTGTATTCATACTGTAACTATTTTACAGTTTTGTTTTCATATTTGCTGACATACAGTAGACCTGTAAACCAGCGAGATACTTTTCAAATGTTTGTCTAACCCATAGGTCTAACCCCAGGTCCATTAGGTTGCTTAAATATGTCATCTGCCTTGTCGTCATTATTGTTGTAACATTGTCTATAATGTCCTATAGTCTTAACGACATTCCTGGTAAACCTTTAAATGACACAGTACCAGTGCTAGGAACTGTTGACAAAGTTAATATTTTGGGTCAATTGTGCTCCTCTGTGGTTTTTGGCTTCATCCTGGTAAAAACCTCCTAATCCACAGCCTCCTCACCTTTCCCCTCACCTATTTCATGGTCAAACATAATAATTCCTTCAGGTTTACACTTTTTCTACTCCAGGCTCTTACCCCTGCCTTTGGGACTTCATCAAGAGGTCAATCCAACTTATTTATTTTACACAAATGAGTAGTCCAGCTCACTATTCCTTTCTTGAGGTGTCTTTCAAGGGGAACACTCTACCACCATCTGGTGGCAGGACTGTCAACACGCAGGACAAATATAATTATTAGTGACCCAGTTTCACATGGGCACTGAATATAAATACATATTCAATATTACTTTATGGTACAGCCATTGAGTTCTTTAAACAATGTGGTTTTGGTTTTAACCCAATGCTGCTGTATTTTCAGCATCTCCCAACAGTACTGGCTCTGTCGGGAAATAAATGTGTTTATTCACAAGTCTGGTCATGTTGCGGTATTTCAGTGTGCAAGTAGCGTTATTAATAGAAAACTGCAACAAACCCAAAATGTATTTTATTTCTGCTAAGCAGCCAATGGCGGGAGAAGAATAGGAAACTGTCTGCCCCCAGAGGGTGATGAGTGCAATGCCAGAGAGCGATCCCTCTGTGTAACTGACATGGCCCAGAGCTGAGTGCAGCTGTGAAGAGAGAAGGGAGAGGGAGGGAGGGGTGTAAGCGTTACAGCAGGGAGCAACAGAGAAGGAGGGGAATGTATGTGGAGGAGGGGTTTATCAAGAGTGAGAGAGCTTAAAAGTGATGGGGAGAAAAAGCAAGAGAGAGAAACTGCGTGTGTGTGAAGGAGGAAGATGCTGTTGCCAGGGAACAGCAGTGAAGTAGAAACGTCCATCTTTACCAGCTCGCAGCAGGATAGAAACATGTTACATCGTGGGTGCAAAATATACTGAACGTGAGGAGAAGGAAAACAGCTGATCCGGACTCCCAGCAGCCCCGGGAGAATCCGAGAGAAGGTAGGCAGGTGTGATTACATAACCACCACAACACATACGGGTGACAGCATCACATCAGGATTAGAGCCTGGGGAGGGGGCATTAGTGTTGGTAGAGGGAGGAGGGGGATTCAGCAGAGACTCTCAGAAATGAATGCGAGGAAGAGGAATAGAGAGTGATCATCGTCAGAAGGGCTGAAAGCGAAGGACGAGGATTATCTTTTGTCCAAAAAGCAGCATGGATTCTGACTGAAAAGAGATGAAAACACGGTGTGATGATCCCATTCTGTTAACCGTTCTCCCTACAGGAGGACACGACTTCTCTCTCAGCCTCCATCAAAGGCATCAGTGAACAGCAAGAAACGTCCTGCAGCCCAGATCCTGAGCACGAGTGTCCCACATGCAGATGTAAACAATGATGACCCTCATTCTGCTCAGGCAGATTTAAGGAGGAAGGAAATAAAGAGGAGATTCTGAAAGCAGCTCAGCCGCTCCTAACGGCAAAGAGGAAGTTATCCGTATCACATAATGTGAGTACCCTGACTTTAACCTATTGATTGATTTTCAGTCAGTGACATTTAATATATTTTTTCTGCTACTGTTTGTGAGTCAAATTACTGAGATGGTGTTTCAGATGTAGAATGGATCACAGTCGTGACAGAAAAGCTTTTCTCCTCCCACAAGAACTTGATGGCCCTATAAAAGTAAATTCTCAATCAGCTTCTTTATCTTGATACCTGCCTAATCTTAACAGATTTATTTTATTTCACAACAGTTGTTATATTTACATAATATATGTTTGTCTGTGACACCATTCATTTGGAAAAAGGTGGCCTCATACTTTTTGTGTACCAATCAGGATTTAATCTGCTCAAACCAATGCCGTTCAGTCCTGATGAAGAAGATTAACTCTATTGTCAGGAGTTCAAATTCTTGTTAAATGATATCTAAATATGTTTTATCTCTGATTTCGGCTTATTGGGTCCTACATTTTAAGTGTATTAAAGACATTCTTATTTGATTTCATTTTAAGCTAAATATTCAGGGTTCTCTTGTCTGTAATTTGTAAGGCAAGGCAAGGCAAGGCAAGTTTATTTATATAGCACTTTTCAACACAAGGCAATTCAAAGTGCTTTACAAAAAATGAAAGAGATTAAGAAAATGGCATTTAAAATCAGTCATTAAAAAGAAAAGCTAATAAAATAAACATTAAAAGAAAAAATACATGGATAAAAGTTACAGTGCAGTCTAAGATATGAATAGTTCAATTAAAAGCAGCGACAAAAAGAAAAGTCTTCAGCCTGGATTTAAAAGTAGTCAGAGTTGCAGCGGACCTGCAGGTTTCTGGGAGTTAGTTCCAGATATTTGGAGCATAATAACTGAACAGCTGCTTTACCATGTTTAGTTCTGACTCTGGGGACAGAAAGCTGACCAGTCCCTGAAGACCTGAGAGATCTGGATGGTTCATAATTTAGCAGGAGGTCAGAAATGTATTTTGGGCCTAAACCATTCAGTGCTTTATAAACCAGCAGCAGTATTTAGAAATCTATTCTTTGACACACAGGAAGCCAGTGTAAAGACTTCAGAACTGGAGTGATGTGATCCACTTTCTTAGTGTCAGTGAGGACTCGAGCAGTGGCGTTCTGAATCAGCTGCAGCTTTCTAATAGATGTTTTAGTGAGACCTGTGAAGACACCATTGCAGTAGTCCAGTCTACTGAAGATAAAAGCATGGACAAGTTTTTCCAAATCCTGCTGTGACATTAGTCTTTTAATCCTAGATATATTCTTTAGGTGATAGTAGGCTGATTTAGTAACAGTTTTAATGTGACTGTTGAAACTCAGGTCAGAGTCCATGACTACACCTAGATTTCTGGCTTTATCTGTTGTTTTGAACATTGCACACTGAAGCTCAGCGCTAACTTGTATACGTTCTGCCTTGGCTCCAAAAACCATTACCTCAGTTTTATCTTTGTTTAATTGGAGAAAGTTCTGACACATCCAGTCATTGATTTGTTCAATGCACTTACTCAGTGTTTGAATTGGAGCATAGTCTCCTGGTGAAATTGTTACGTAAATTTGTGTGTCATCTGCATAGCTATGGTAACTTATTTTGTTGTTCTTCATTATCTGAGCCAGTGGTAGCATGTAGATGTTAAAGAGAAGAGGCCCCAAGATGGAGCCTTGAGGAACCCCACATGTCATATTTGTCAACTCAGATGTGTATTTACCTATAGAAACAAAGTTGTTTCTGTCCTTTAAGTAGGATTCAAACCAATTCAGAACTGTTTCCGAAAGTCCCACCCAGTTCTCCAGTCGGTCTAGTAATATGCTGTGGTCAACAGTGTCAAACGCAGCACTGAGATCTAATAATACTAACACTGAAGTTCTGCCACTGTCTGTGTTTAAGTGGATGTCATTAAAGACCTTTACAAGAGCAGTCTCAGTGCTGTGGTTTGGACGAAAAACAAGTTGGGAAAGAACTGAACTTTCCTTTTATCAGTGGCTCTACTGATGCCTATCTCCAAACAGTAGGCCATGTAAATGTTATCATAATGCAGAGGAGGAAGTCATAACGATATGTTCTATTCAAGTGAAAGCTCTACTGCTTCACTTACATTGTTCTTACTGTATGTCAAAGTAAGATAGAAAAATATTGACTAAGTACAGCTTCTTTATCTTGAGTGTGTGAGTTTGTTTGGATAGGCACAACGCAGTGAAAAGCTGAACAAGTTATTGTTTAGGCTGCCCTGCCATCTGGACTCAAATCCCTAACAAACACGTGCTACTGTACCATTACTGTGTGTCCATCAATCAGCAGTTCACTGTATGAGCAGCTGAGCCTTTACGAGAGACATCTGTGTGGACAACACACCACACACACTGACCTGCTGTTTCCGTGTGAAATGTGCACTTCTCAGCTCACACCCCTCTTTCAGTCTTTATTTAGCCGGGAAACTAATCATCTCAGACAGCTTTTTGTTGTTGTGTGAGAACAGAGGAAGTCAGTTTAAAGTGAGATTTAACCAGAAGGATCTTAATAAAAGGGGCTTTCAAGGATTTCCCTATCAAGCTCATATCAAACACTGCAACTTGTTATGGGATAGTACAGTCAGTGTAAACACCTCTCTGTTGTTTAGAGAATCCAGTGACAACACAGCAGCTCCAGCAGCATGTAGCCTGAGGGCCTGAGCCTTTTAGTCCACTCTTTCCAGTATAGGCTCTGATGTGTCTCACTATACTATAGCACATCAGTGCCATCCCAATGGACAAATGGACTGTGTTAACGTCTGCTGCAGTATGAACTCTGACCGGGACTTTTATGTAGGAAGAACACTCCTCCCCCATTGGCACATTCTGACACATAATGTTTACTCATGACTGATCCTTGTATGACATCCTGCAAAATCAGAAACAAACAGTAAAGCTTTACTTCACATACCAAGAAATGGACATGTCGCACTGGAAGGAGGCTTTTCTGCTTTGGTTATGTAAAATATGGAAGTTGAGATGACTACCAACTTGTATGATTCGCTTGTATCTCCCTGAGGTGCTGTATGAGCAATGTGGTGTTTTATTTTGGTCTCCATTCCCCCGTGATGTAGGGAAAGGAAACCCACTGGGACTTATTTTAGCCAATGTTGTATTACAATGGCATTATTGTACAATATTTGCCCATGAGAGATAGCATCAGTGTTTGAAGTATCTTGCTTTTTGGATCTCGCAATTGCTATGTATCATGCTTGTTAGGAAAGGATAACGTTTGTGGTTTTGTAAGGTTGGATTTTGTACACCCATGTTATGTTTTCTAGCTGCAGTCCATACTACTTGATGATAGCTCCTAAAAGCTACAGTACACTGGTATTGTGAATAGGATTGGCCTAGTGTACTTTTTTGTATTGTAGTGTATTGCTTTGAACCAAAAGAAACCTCAATTATGCCCACAATGAAATTGGATAGTTTCTTTCATTCAACCCTCCCTGCATAGTCAACATCCAGGTCTTTGCATCTCCACACCTTCAGTTTGTAACTCTGTCTGTCTGTCGCAAGCTTGTCTCAATTATAATTCTCAAACCAAAATTCATAATCCTGCTTTAATCATCAGGGTTGCGTAAAATGGGTGGAGTTCCCCTTTAACGCAGCAACACTCTTTAACTATTGGTTTCCTACTGAATAAGTCTGTTTCATTTGTTTTTCAACCACAGTGAGCTGAAGCCCGTCCTCCTTTGCAGAGGATGGGTACAGCAGAAGCCACTCTACGCATGGACAGCATGGAGGTCAAGGACGAGTGGCAGGATGAAGACTTCCCCAGGTGTGTGTGTGTGTGTGTGTGTGTGTGTGTGTGTGTGTGTGTGTGTGTGTGTGTGTGTGTGTGTGTGTGTGTGTGTGTGTGTGTGTGTGTGTGTGTGTGTGTGTGTGTGTGTGTGTGTGTGTGTGTGTGTGTGTGTGTGTGTGTGTGTGTGTGTGTGTGTGTGTGTGTGTGTGTGTGTGTGTGTGTGTGTGTGTGTGTGTGTGTGTGTGTGTGTGTGTGTGTGTGTGTGTGTGTGTGTGTGTGTGTGTGTGTGTGTGTGTGTGTGTGTGTGTGTGTGTGTGTGTGTGTGTGTGTGTGTGTGTGTGTGTGTGTGTGTGTGTGTGTGTGTGTGTGTGTGTGTGTGTGTGTGTGTGTGTTTTTGTGCACAGGCTTTGACAAACAGGCCCAGCTATGATGCAGAGTTACTGGTGTGTGTTTAATGGTGAAAGGCACCAGGTGTGTTCTTTCCTTGATGTAGCCGTTATCTGTTATGTGATTATGATGCGTCAAACAATGGTGAACAAACTAGAAACTAGCACAGAGGGAAAAAAGGACAAATTAAACACGTCACTGTGTCCAGCAATGGAAAAAAAAGCCAAGCAACCACTGTTTAACTGGCAAGCCCCATTTCTACAGCTGAGGAAATGTGGTTATGAAATAGAAGTAGGGGAAAGGACATCCAGTGTATTCACAAACATATTTATACATAGTTTATCAGATGATTTGGTATTTATTTGATAGGTTTCTGTAAGAAGTTGTCTTAGTATTATAAAAATAGAATAATATAACAATGGTATCCTGGTAGCTCAGTTTGTGAAAGCTTATACGATACTAATGATGTCATTGGAAATGAGAAGAGGAATAATAAGTGTGTATAACAATACATGTGTTGCAGTTTAAACGTAAGAGCAACATTTTACAACGATCTTAAAGGGCTTTTCCAATGCAAAATGTTCTACTTCCCACTGTCTTATCCACTCTTGAATGTCTGTTGATGCTGTAAACGTACCTCTACAAAGCTACAACACACAGCGACAACTTAATAACAGCAATTATGCCAAAAGGTCCATCAACTCGCCTGTACTTGTGCTGTTTTAGGGCGTTGCATGCACGTCTGTGTTAATGTCTGTGTCTTTCTCTCTGTGTGTCTCTGTGTGTTGGTGTGTGTACGAGGGCTATCTACTGTAATCTAGCCCTCTTGTGCCCCAGCTATCTTATTATAATGTCGAAGGGGGAGTTGGTAATTACAGATGTTGCTTTCTCACACAACACATATTGATTCCCGTACACACCATTGTTAATGAACAATAGCGCCACTCCAAAAACAAAAGAGAAGAGGGAGGAATTGCTAGGAACGATTTCTCATGCTTTATAAATCATTTCAGGTTTTTATTAAACATGTAGCAAATAATTTAATGTAAATGTTAAATGTTGATGCTTATAGCTAGCAATTTAAAAAAAACATCAGGACAGTTGTTAACTACATAAGAGAAAAACAAAAGGCCAAAGCTCAAATATATTTCATAAATATGTCATTTTATTTTGTATTTATAGAGTTTCCATATCATTGTATTTTTGTTGATTGTTCATACCTTTCCCTGCAGGCCACTACCAGAGGATGGAGATGGCCTCACTGACAACAGAACCAGTAAGTGGAGTAAATACACATCATTCACTAAACATATATATATTTTTTAAAGATGTACTGTGCCTAAACTTTTATGGCCCGTCTGTCCAGATCATCCCACCACTCTAAATGTGGGCGAGACCATGGCTCAGCGTAAGCGCCGCACGCTGGTCGCCCCCGACATGAACCTGTCCCTGGATCAGAGCGAGGGCTCCGTGCTCTCTGATGAGTTTCTGGAAACACCCGACGACCTGGACATCAACGTAGACGACATGGAGACTCCTGATGAGACGGACTCGCTCGAGTTCATCAACAACGGCAACGAGCTGGAGTGGGAAGGTCGGACAGGAATTATAGAAAATTGACAAGTTAACATGATCACCATTGAGGAAGTAAAACATATTTTTTAAGGTCAAGGGATGCATGCTGGCGAAGTAAGGTTAAACAATCAAACCTTTGTCTTCACCTTGTGTCCAGATGACACTCCTGTGGCCACTGCAAAGCGTCTTCCAGGGGAAAGTGACGAGGAGAGAGACTCATCTGGCCGCCTGTGGCGAACAGTGATCATCGGTGATCAGGAGCAGCGGATTGACATGCAGGTCATCAGACCGTACCTGAGGGTAGTCACACATGGAGGTGAGTTAAATACGGAGTGCTTGTATTATTTTAATAATATCTAAGTGTTTGTTTGAATGTGTGCGCTATTGGTTTTGAAAGAACAATACTAAAAGGATATATTTGGCATGTTTTACCCTTGTTTTTGTATTGTTTAAAGACCTCCATGATAATGTCATACTCTGCCAATACAACAGCCATGATAATGAACGTCTATCTATCCTCTCAGGATATTATGGAGAGGGTCTGAATGCCATCATCGTGTTTGCAGCCTGCAACCTTCCTGACAGCGGCTGTGAGGACTACGCGTACATCATGGAGAATCTCTTCCTGTAAGATCCATTCTGGTCTCGTAGGGGACTTCCTCATTAGCATTAGCATTAGCATACTGTGTTCTGAGCCTTTTGAAAGCATCGTTCTTCTACTTTATTCTCTTTGTTACTGTATAGTTGATCAAAGGATAGGACTGGAGAAAATGTCTCTAGGGAATATGCAAATATTTAAGATCGTTATAAAGATCAGAAGCTAGAAATGAAAGATGAAGACTTGTTTTGGCTTAAAAAAACGCTACTCTGTGAACATTGGAATTATTTCAGGTAAAGTTTTTTCAATTCCAGACGTTAATGCACAGTTTGAGTCGGATCTGAGTGGTTTGCTCTGCCCTCAGGTACGTTGTGAGCAGCCTGGAGCTGCTGGTGGCAGAAGATTACATGATCATTTACCTGAACGGAGCCACTCCTCGCAGGAAGATGCCGGGCATCGGCTGGCTGAAGAGATGCTACCAGATGATTGACAGGAAGTAAGAGAACAAAACTATATTTAAAAAAACAGAATCCTTGCTTTTTAAAGCACTTCCACATAAAGCATACGACTGGATAAATGAGAATTATTAGTTATTGAAAACTGACTTTTGAATATAGTTTGCTGTTGTTAAACGCCGCTCCCATATACTTCAATTTATAAACATTTCTAAATGTTTGGATTATTTATTCACCGTGAAGGCATTGTTTTATAAATGTTCTTCACAAATGTAAGGTGACGCAGCTTGATTAAGAGATTGACATACAAGGGATCATTTTGAGAAAGCTTCATAAAAATGTGAATTTCTCTTTCAGACTGAGAAAGAATCTGAAATGTCTCATCATCGCTCACCCAACGTGGTTCATCCGGACCGTCCTGGCCATCTCCAGACCTTTCATCAGGTGAGGACACAGTCTCTGTGTTTGGTAGTTCATCCTGCTTTCCTCTGAGTTATATATTGTCTCTTTTCTAAACAAAAGAAAGAAACACAAAGAAGATAAATTAGAGTCATGACATAATCCATTTGTTTTTAAATTCAAACAATTAGAGAACTAAAAGAGTAAGAGTTATGCTTACTCGCCTTGGATGGCATTGATACAAGTAAATATTGAAATTGGATCATTGTGACAGTTATTGCATGTTGTTGATTTTATTTCTGCAGCGTGAAGTTCATGGATAAAATCCGCTACGTTCACACCCTGGAGGAGCTCAGTCAGATCATCCCCATGGAGCACGTGCAGATCCCTGAGTGTGTGCTGCAGTGAGTACTCTGAGCCAGCAAGGGTCACTGCTGACACACTAAACATGGCTGCCACGGGTTGTGTTATGCCTGCATGCTTTCAGTAATAATACCTACTGCTCACAGAACAGTGATGGACCTACATCTGAGCAAAGCTGTATTGAATTCACTAATATTTAGTTTGTGTAATGCATTTATGTTATTGTTCTTAAATGGTAAATTGGTAGATAAGATATTGTCTGCAGAGTAAATGCTGACTTAGAGCAGTACACATGTTATGTTGCAAACATCAGGTGTCGACAGGATTTGAGTAAAAACTCATATTCATATTGCTGTTTTTTAACAAACTATAGGTGGGTTAACTTTAGTTTAATCGGAGGCTTTGCAATACAGTGCAAAGTTAAACAAAGTAAACTTGTGATTTTCAAAAGCACACTGCTATGGAATTTTAGCTTCTTAGCATGTTGACATTTCTATTCTGATTTCTCAAAGGTATGATGATGAGAAGTTACGATCACAAAGTGAAAGGTGAGCATTACATTGTCACGTGATTCTGTTAAAAAGAGTTTTGATGCATTTCTTATTTTTCCTGTATATAAGTAGTATCATTAATAATTGCCTGTCTTACTTACAGACTTGAGCAAGAGCAGCAGCCGACAAAACCAACACTAGCTAAAGAAAGGTGACCTCATTTTGCAGTACATACTGTGCAGTGCAGTGCCATATGGAAACTGATAAAGTGAACATGTTTTACTTCTGTGTTCATTTATTATTTTATGTATCATGTCACCTACATAAATTGCAACTTTATTTGAGTAAGATAAGATCCTAGAATGAGACAGCTACCATCATGCGAAAATACGATGTATAAGCCTACAAAATCAAACTGTGTTTATTCTCTATATATCAAGTGAAAGCCACTTCCTCGAAACACAGATTGGCAACAGAAAAGCAACCTAATATGGGCTGGATCACCTAAATATATATAAATGTACTCATGGCTTTGCTTTAATCTGTTATTTCCAGGCCAAAGTCAATGATATCTGAGGTTGGCCGTGACATCTGACATTAAGGTAAGCGCTCTCGTTGACATAACTGCCTTTCCAACCTGCTCCAGCCAGGCTGGTTTGTAATGTCAGCCCGCTGTAACTAATCTCTGGGAAATGTTCTCGCAGACACGCATGCTTATGAGCCGAAAAGAGACATGATATAGTAAATCACAGAAAAGCTGGATGATAGCCTGTGTGGAGTTTTGGTTCACTGAATAAAGGTCTTAAGGTTCAGCTGTCAGATCAGGGAAACCAGGAACTTACAGTATCGTACCGAGTCAAGAGAGCCCACCAGCAGAAATTATTAGATTACTAAAACCCTCTCTTCAAAAGATGAACAGCTTATTTAATTTTTCAGTCACGTATAAAACAAGATTTATGTTTTTTTTGTCGAACAGTATTGTCAATTACATTATTTGTGATTTTGCACTGTTGGTCATGTTGGTAAAAAAAGGGCATTTTTTACTGTTTCTTTGAGTTATCTGAATTGTTTGCAGTGTTGTGTGCGCAAGCAGAAAATAGATGGCTAGCTCCAGGAGGAAGCTGAAGCATGCACATGTTTCTTGCACAAGGATCCCCTTCATGTTTTGAAAATGCTAAACGGTATTGCTTGCACATAAATAATCATTTGTAATAATACAATAAACAACCATGTCCTTCTCCGAGAGCACTAGACCAGAATAATAATGCTGTTTAATTAATGTCGATCATCAAGTGCAGATAATTCTTCTGCCAAGTCATCTTTAGTTCTATAAATTGAGACTTCTAGTGAATCCAAGAAGTGTTAGATGATCCTCTAACATCATATTCCCCTTCGTACCCATGTTACATAAAGCACAGCTGCTGATCTCTTTAAGCATGCACACAACCAATCAATCCTATTTTTAATGGCCTGTACAACAGGTCCGGCAAATTGATCTTCAGCGCACTGCCAGTCCTGAAATTGGGGGAAATACCCGCCGCAGCAGGTTCTGGGTGGGTTAGGCTGGGTGTTGGGGGTTATTTTAGAACCCCCCCCCCCCCCCTGCTGTGCTGTCCTGCTGACTGTCCACACAGCCTTTCCATATATCAAAGCAGCTATCAGACATGGGACTGGCTGATATCTCAGGAATGGACACCATCTCCAAACTAAATACCAGGGGAGGAAGCAGAGGAAAAATATATAGGCAACATGTCAAGACTGATTTAGTTTAGATGTAGTGCATGCTTACTGACACACTGCCACAACAAGGATTATATAGGAAATGTTTTATTAAGAGATACATACATGTCAATAGATGTCTTTGAGACTGTCGGGTTATGGAAGAAGCAAAAATAATGAAATTGTGTTTATTTGTATTACAGAGCTTTAAAAGGAAGAACCAATGGGGGACATTCACTCATAACATGGGAGCACGCCCATACCAACGTTTTTAAATCTCCTGACTGGATTCATTAGATACAAGACAATCATTTCTCAAACTATTATTTTCCATGACATGCTTGCTTCTAAATAAAAACGAATTTAATCCAAAGCATAACAAGCTAAATCAAAAAAGGCATCTGCTCCCTGCATGTCAAGTGGAGTTTAATTCAAAGCATGAATAACTTTATAAATGAAAAATTACTCAAGCATCTTCCAACAAGGCATGAAATATAGTTTCTAAGTGTAAATACTTGTGTATATATTTTTGAGAAAGGTGCTTGCACAGATGTGCACACATGTTTTGTTTATTGATATGAGTGGAATGGGTATTGTTTGGTTCAATGGCCGTTAATTGGAAAATAATGTGCAATGCTGTTGTTCTTCTCAGACCTCCAGTACTCTAGATGTTACTGATGCAAACATGTGTTACAGTCTTCACGTTTCCCAGCATGCTTGTTTATTTCCTTCTGTCTCATTTGTTTCTGTCAGTTTTAAAGTCACTCGCCATTATGTTTCAAAGATACTTTTACCAAATGGAAAATATACATTGTTACAGATAAAAAAGATATATTTAAAAGAGAGATAGTTTAATTAAAAAAGTGTTATTTATGAAAATGTGCCATTTACTGTTTGTAAAAAAATAAATGAACTAAAAAAAGCTTTTTTATTCATGCTATACCTCTTAAACTTAACCTTGACTTCTGATACAGGACATGTACATTATCGCTTATATTTCCATCTTTTTATTGCCTCTAAATATATTTCAGGTTGATCCAGGCAGTCATGAGGGTCTCGATGTTCTTTGTGTGACCTGAAAGTCCTTTGTTGCTCTGTTTAGGGGTCATTTGGGCAATCTGAGGTGACCCTTCGTTACGAGTAAGGTATTATAACAATACATAATCCCTTATAAACAATACGATATAAACAAATTCAGATATTAAAACAATGAACAATTCTTTACAGAACATGTGTTTGTTGTCAGAACATTTGTTTGTTTGCTAAATTAGCAATGTCAATAATTTGACAGCATCCCTGTGGGCATACTCTTAGAAAGTTATTTTAAACTGAATAGGGAATATTGTGTGTCTTCCGGGTCATAAAGGGAAAGTATGCAGCACATGCTTCACGGGTCTGGTTCGTGCCCTACAGAATGGTACAGTCTGAACGGGACACTTTTATAATTCCAAATTCTCAGAAATCATTTTCCAAGAATTTAAAATGTTCAGTTCACTAACATCACCCAACAAAACCACATCAAGGCTGCAAATCACTTTGATATGAGAGAAATATTATGGTCACATGGTGTCAACAGACCCTCCCTGTGAGTGTCATGGCGGTGAAACGTCAACTCTGAACATGAAACCATGTGCTCTGTTATCTGGGACTCAAAGTTCACCTCTCACACACTTATTACTGAGATAGGAGTTTAAAAACATTATTGCACAGACACAATAGTGACACGAGATTGCACACAGCCGGAGGTGTGCAAAGGGATTATAAGACGGATCTGTTTTATCAGACTTGACTCGAGACATTAATTTGAGGACATTAACTCGAGACACTGCGGTCACATGGCGGTCGGCCATGCACTCCAGCTGGTTGCATCATAAGTATGCGTGACGCTGCAGGCAGACACACAATAGCCGACTAAATATAGCTCTGGTGGTTTTCACCCAACCGGTGCTGTCTAAACATGGAACACCTTCCTCAAAAAACACAAATATCAAGGTTTCTCTCTTAGCTGTCATACAGATGTCTCAGTGAGAGGATTTTACTTATACTCTGACATATAACGGTGAATTGTATTGGATGTAGAATTTGCTTCCTTGTGAACTTGTTTGCTTACAAACAGTACAAATCACTTGAGGGGATGCTTCTGCTTTTACACTAGTTGTATCGTAGATACAGTCAGTCATGTATTTACTTGACATTTTTAGTTTGATATGAATAATATCCATCACATGAACACAGGCTTTATTATTCAAATACTGCCCTCAATATATTTTGAAACAGTGACAAATGAAGAAGTGAGACTATAGTTCTGGTGTCGCCCTAAATTAATGGTGACAACTTTAAGCAAACTTTATTCTATTTTCAACTGAGATTTTTTGCATTACTTTATATTTAAAGTCTTTGAATTGATATCGAGTGATTAGTTTAGTTTAAAAGTCAAATGTATCTCAAATAAATTAATATTTGACAAGCTCTAAACTATCAATCACCGGTAGCTTTTGGTCTGAGACTACACATGTGCGTGTCTTTACTGTGTATCTATATGTTCTCCGACCCCTGCAGCAGGTGGAATATTTGGGATCTACTTTCATGCAACTGTGAGGGTCCCACTGTAACCCCCCCTGGTGCTGCATGGCTGCTTATAGGCTGCAGGAAAAGGAGGTCTATTGGTCAGGGAGGCTGTGACGCTGCAGCTGAATCCTTTATATGTCCGGCAGTGAGATTGTCTATCAATGAAGTAGTAAAAGGGGGGAACGTCTGTGACTGAGAAGGAAAAGGTTTTCACAAGAAGCTTTTCATAGTCTGTTTGCTTTGGGTGGGTTCCCTTCTTTTATTTACTGAATTCCAGAGGTGACCAATAAACAAACAAAGCCAAAATGAAGTTCATCATCGGCATTGGAGGGTAAGTCTTCATTCATTTATTTACCTACTACTGCTTGTCTATTGTTGAAACTTAGAAGATAATTCACATCTGTGTTTAATCCAATTATTTTACATTTTCAGAGTGACCAACGGTGGCAAGACCACTTTAACAAATAGACTACTAAAGACATTACCCAACTGTTGTGTGGTGCACCAGGATGACTTTTTCAAGGTAAGCCGAATTAAACTCCTTTAAGTCATTTTGTGTTTAGTGTAAAGCTAAAGCAACTATTGTAATATTGTTGAGTTAATGCAATAATTACATGTGATAGATTGAATTTGTCATTTTACCCTGAGTTTATTTTATGCTCAGAAAAAAACAAAAAAACTCCAATGTGACTTACAGTAGTCCTGTCATCACAATAGCCTGGTGTTACATCTGGCTGATTGTCTCCTGGACAGCCAATGAAAGGGCTGAGCGTCCCCACTTAAAGTCAGACTTTGTCCAATCAAGTTCTACAACCAGTTTTTTGCATAATTATTAAACTCAAGATTTTAAATTAACCCCATATATATTTCAGTGCTACATTCAGGACCCCTAAAGGCTGATTGACCATCAATCACCAATTTCATATAAGATTTTAAAAGATAATTAATGGCATGCTCCCGCTTATATCACGTATTTCTTCTATAGCAATACATAAAAATCGCACATGTTAAATCCAAAAACGCCTTCAGATTTATTCTTATAAGTAAAATAGCCTGAAACACTTTGCTTAAGTAGCTAGCTAACGTTATTGTAAATGTAAGGTCACAGCAAGCGTTTCGACCCTTCTGCAAAGTTTTAAAAGATTTTAAGAATGCTGTGTCCGAAGGTATTGAAACCAACATATTGCAAACGCAACACTGAAAGCTATTTTCAACCGCACCAAAAATGGTCCCTTAGTGCTACTTTTGGTGGAGACGAGTCCTTGCCCTGTCCTGTCCAGGTGTGATCAGCTCCGACTGCTTACTAGGTTGCAGCAATGTTTTATTGGTGACTGTTATTTCAGAAACCCGATCAAATAGAAGTCGGCGACGACGGCTTTAGACAGTGGGATGGTAAGAACGGATTTTGCGTAGGAAAACCATGCAGTAATGTACTTTTTCTTTCCTGCACATTTCTTACAATTTGGTAACCGTAAACTTTGTGAATGCCTCAAACATTCACTATCTTTGACCGATGTGTGTAACAGCACATTGGTGAAGAGCGTAGTTTCCTTGTGTGGTGAAGCCTGTTCTTTTCTCTCCTCTCTTTGTTCAGTGATCAACGCCATCGACATGGAGGCTATGGTTAGCACCGTGAAAGGCTGGCAGGAAAACCCCGTCAAGTTTGCCCTCTCCCACGGCGTCAGCATGTCACCTGAATCCACCACAGAGGAGGGGATCCATATCCTCATTGTGGAGGGGTTCCTCATCTACAACTACAAGTGAGTTGCAAGCCATCTTAATCAGTTTTCCACTCAAGTCTTGACCTTGATTAGCTGTTCACTAACCTGAGCCTCGCTTTCCCCTCAGGCCTCTAATTGACATCTACGACAAATGTTTCTACATTTCCATTCCTTATGAGGAGTGCAAAAAGAGGAGAAGGTAACACGTCAACACCGCAACGTTGACAGATTCTACTTGAGTATTGGACAGGCTATAACATGACTTGATTGGTTATCTATCTGCAGTACAAGGACATACACCCTCCCCGACCCCCCCGGCCTGTTCGACGGCCACGTCTGGCCCATGTACTTGAGACACAGGAAAGAAATGGAGGACAACTGTGAAAGAATAGGTATGCCGAAACTGAAATCTGAAATAACAAATCAACGCCCTTTAATGTTCCTACTTTACTTGTACTCCATATTGACGTCCCTAATGACAAAATAGCTTTATCTGCTACCTTTTGACAAAAAATTCATTTCTAATGTATATTTTTCTGTACAGCGTATCTCGATGGAATGACATCAAAGGACGATATCTACAACAAAGTATATGAAAGTTTTCAGAACGGCCTGCTGAACAACTTATAGGTACATTTAAAATATAATCTTTAATATTTTCACCAACAGTGTGACAGTGACAGTGTTATTAACCCTCTCCTTTCTCTCTCTCTCTCTCTACAGCAGGACGAGGATAACAGTGGAGCTGTGTATAGACTTGTAAATATAACTTTGAGCACATGTGTAACAGCAGTGTGTAGTTCTAGCCTGATTTGTAAATAGTTAATCCTGTTATTAAGCACCATGTTTTTATGGTCTTGTGTAACTTTTTTCTAAAGATAATTCACATCTGGACGGCCCAGTGTTTAACATCAGGGACGGATCACAACACTGATCTGTATGTGAACCTATAAAATACCCACTGGAAGGAAGGATTTGTGTCTCGTAACTGAATGAAACGACTGAATCCGATTTGTGTTTCCTGTTTTCATTTCAAATGCACAAACACACACACACACACACACACACACACACACACACACACACACACACACACACACACACACACACACACACACACACACACACACACACACAGACACACACACACGAGTCACAGACCTCACATCACAAACATGTGTGTGATAATGATTGAAAACATCCTGTGGCTCATAAAGGACACCTCTTATCACCCAGATTAGATTAGAGTTGCATTAAAAGTGTCCTGCTAGCCGAATCACACAGATTGTATTCCTGAAACACACAATGGCTGAGCTATTGCAGTGTACAGGAAGGAGGAACAATTTAAAAATATTGGTTAACTTATTTAATCTCTTCTTTTTAGACAGATAAATATATATATTTATATATATATATATATATATGTGAAAAGGCTATTTGAGCATCTATGACTGAAACAAAAACTAAACAACCAGGAGCTTTTCGAGTAGTCAAAACCGCTGACACAAGCAACACAAATTAGTGTTTTATTCGCCTATATTTATCAACGGTGCTACATTTTAGTTATCCACTAAATTGCCTTGAGATGGATGTATGATGACACACCCTTCCCATGTATGAGGACATTTTCTTCTCTTTTAAGTGGCATCAATTACTTTGATAATATCATTGTTTTACCAATGTTGAATTGGAAAGTGACATATTTGAACGTTACTGGGGGAGTTTTGTGGCTAACATATACATTTCTCCCACAATTTCTAGACTCAAAACTATCATTGAATCATGGTGTAATGTAAAAGGTTAAAGAGCATGTAAACTGATCACCTCCATAGCACTAAATGAAAAATATCTGATTATATTTCTGTAAACGTTGTTAAGGGAATTCTCTTTTCACATCACAGAAAGGTCAGAGCCACAGAGTGCTTTGATAAAGCTTCCCTTCTGTGTTAACAACACATCCATTAACATGAAGTAACCTTTCTCTTTTCTAGCCTGTAGCATCTCATAATAGAAAGAAATATTTTGGTTTTGTCCTCTCAGTAAATGTTATTTTTTGTAAATAAGTAACTGCATTACTGGCCTCAACTTAATCAACACATGGGGTGAAAGTGCTTTTGCTTTTACCGGGAATGTCCAAACATCTCTGAAAGATAAAATGTTCTTTCTAAAGTCACACACATCGCTCTTACCCTCAGCCAACACTGTCTGCACAGAAATGAGGGGAGACACGGCCATAAACTCTCCCTTTTATTGATACTTTAATATCAAAAGCCAGTTAATGATAGGGTCACCTTGAGGGTTGTTTGTCATATCTGCGGCTTGAGTCATAAGACAATGACTGGCAGTGACGACCAAGACAACAAGGGATTTAAAGTCCGAGCGTGTATAAATCTTTAGTGTAATTTAGGCTTTTCCAGAATATGTCTTTCTTGTGAGTGAGAACACTGCACAGTGCTCTGGCAGAGCCTCCGAGGGTGTGTTCGGGGTCTTGTGATACGTTTCTGGGAGTCTTTACATGCCAGCAGTGGGCCTGGAGCAGATCTGCTCTGTCAGTTTATATTTAGGCTTAGCGTCTGTGGTGTCAGGGGAATATTTGTAATGAGTGTACAGCCAATTGCAGTTTGCCACACACTCACCCCACATTTCACCGCCTGCTCTGACTCAGGGGCCGGGCCCCGGTAACATGAGAACCTCATGCTCTCACGTCACCTGACGCCATGGCAACCTCGAAAGTTCAGCCGTGGCGTCCATATTTAGGCGGCGAGGCCGCAGACACAGGAGATGAGCGGCTGTCACATGCTGTGCAGAGACCCTGTGTGAGTAAGTGAAGACCCCAAGGCATGTGAACAGTTGTGGTAATGCCACTGAAGGAATGACAGGAATATTTATGTCTACCTCGCTGTGACTAAATATGTGAACAACTGAAATCCCCCTATTTAGCACATATAAGCCCTATATAAACATTACTTAAATGTTTTACACACTCTAATGTAGCTGTTAGCAGGTGTGTAGTTATGTTCTGGTTATATACATCCATAATCTTAATTTTTCATTCAAGGAACATGTAATATTATGCATTATTTATTTATTTATTTGATTGTCAAAATGTTTTTTATTAAGCTTACTCTTCTCCCCCTATGCTTTTCACCTACATTTCTCACCATACTCACTCTATATATACTTTATGGCTGCCCATAGGAAGATTTGTTGACAAATAAATACTTATAGCCGCTTGCTACCACATTAAAGTATGTTATGACCCATCTAAGTTTATATACTGCTCATGTTAGGTAGAGATACAGTGACAGGTGGGCCCCATGTTCCTTATTGAGTCCTTTTTCAAAAGGTCACAAAGTTGTGATTATGTAACTGGCTCTCGGTCCTGATTGGTCTGCACTGACCTAAAACCCACACCAGAGAAATAAATGACATGCATGCTGCCAGCAGAGGAGGGAGGACACAACAAGCAAAAGCTCAACTACAGCCTAGAAAAACATTTTCTTTTGCACTGGAAGAAGAAAAACGCCCCGATATTCAAATCTGAAGTAGTCAACTCACCTTGAAAATGTGAAGTTTAGCTGAGAGATATACTTCCACTTTTATGTGGAGTCCAAACATTTTGCTCATTATTTGCCAATTAATATTAACTCTCTTAGTGAACGTTGCAACAAATCCTCAGAATTATTTGAACTAAATCTCACAAATATTAGTCTTTAGGAACTACAAATAGTTTTATTGGGTTTCTGCCAATTGAAAAAAGTATTTAGGATAAGTCTGACCTAATATAAAATATATATATATATTTTTTTTTTTATTGACTGTGGATTGGACCAAGTAATACAAACTAAACATATAGTTTATCCTGTCCACATCTAAAAGAAAAATACATACAAACATTGACTCTGTGTCTGCACAGATATTTGGTTACAAACACATTTGTAAAAAGTGTTGAAACAGAAGTATCCTGCAGTCACGCACAGTAAAGCTTAAGGGGCAAGATGACCTCTTAACATCAGCAGGTATTAACATGTCAATCTGGGTAAAGGGTCTAATGGCGGGACGGTTTTTAATAGCTCACATATAAAACATCAGTTTGTCACGTGTAGATCAACCAAAACGTGAAGACAGATAGAGCAGCGTGAGGCTTAGAGCTGAAACGTGAGGAGAGCTGACCGCGCTGATTTAGGTGAATGTTAATTAACTTTAAGCAACACGCGTGTGACAAGAAACCTGATGATTCATCATTTATTAGACACTTCTATTTTAACTCGGGTTAGAAAGAAACAAAGAAAGAAAACACTAAATCCGTTTTATTTAAAAACTCACTTTCAGGAGTAGCTACCATAAAGGGACAACAGTATAATAATGTTTATGTTTTTTCACACATTTGTTCAGCATCTCACCTGCATTGTCTCCCATGATCTGTGGTAAACCCTCGGGCTTTATCATTTAGTTGCAAACTCCTCAGACTGGCAGTGTGAGGCCTTCAGTGGAAGTAAACAGGTGTATTCCTTGTGTGGATGTTTTCTCGTGGTAAAACCATTTTAAGACCATCATCTTCGTTTAATCTCACAAGAAGCAAAGCTGTGAGCCTTGGATACCTAGATTCATGGGATAAGATATATTCAAAGCGTAAAAAGAATTAGTGTCTCGCTCTGGGAAAGATCTGCTGCTGCTGCTGCTGCTGCTGCTGTGTACCATGAAAACAACCAAAAACTTTATTTTATGTACAAGCAACCCTATAGCTCACAGTAAAGATTAGTTTTTTGTGGCAACATTTGTTGTGATTTGTTTACTTTCAGGTCAGACACACAAGAAAGACTAAATTTAACATTAATACTTACTGGCTAAACTTTGTGGGTTACATGTCCTGCTCGGGAAGTCTTGTGCCAAACCAGTGCCGAGGATCTGTGGCTCTTATAAATCTGGAGTGCTGCACTTTGGAGCAGGCAGGGGGAGGTGTCTTTGACTAAGAATAGAAAAGCATGCAGGCTCAACGTCCTGATGCCCTATTTGGATGAGGAAACACACACCACGGCACAGCAGGAGAGAGGTGACACACACTGAGCTCTGCCTGACTCTGTGTGTGTGTCCCATCCGTGACCCATATCAAACTATCTGCCCCTTTTAACACATCCAGTTACTTTGACTTCACTGGGATATTTGTATTTCATGCTACTGTACTTTATACTCGGCCACATTAAGGATTGTCATTTGTACTCTATTCAGCTTTTTTGATTAACTGTTTTACTATTTACAGACTTACACATCAACTAATTAAATATAATTATCAATTGTTTTAATAATTACAGGGACGGGTGGCAGTCATAAAATCAATTTTTACAACCGTCGTTTTGGCGTCAACTTTTACATTACGGTCGGCAACTTCAGTCTGCATAAAGTTAGCAAGCCAGCATTGCTAATGCTATCGTGTCTAGGTTAAATACACGTTATTATATTAATCAATGTCAACAGCCATGTGTTATACATCCGATTGACAACAGTAATTTAAATAAGTTGTTAAACGACTCTTGTATGAATGGGCATGTTGTAATTAGTAACTACACTTCTGTGAGCAGTGGTACAGAAGTCATACAGCATATATACTGTATACACAGAGGTGGGAAGTAGCTAAGAACATTTACTCAAGTACTGTATTTTGAGATACTTGTACTTCACTTGAGTGTTTCCATATTTTTCTACTGTGTACTTCTACTTCACTACAATTCAGAGGTAAATGGTGTACTTTTACTCCACTACATGTGTTTAATAGCTTACCTTTAGTTACTTTACAGATTTGGTTAAGATGCCTATTGGTTACTGGTGGCGTTTTATGAGTTTATGTTTTTCAGTTTATTTGTTCATAAAGTAAAGTAAAGTATATCATATATTATATGATATAAATATCTTTATGTGAGATAAGGGATCGTTGCTCACTATGATATGATAAAGTGTGTTATATGCTCCAGGAAGGATACAGTATATTGTTGAATATATATTCAAGATAGCTATATACTGTATATAACATTACATTAATTGTAATTCAATATACATACATCAATCATATATGGATAACAGGACAACTTCACCGTTTATGAACATGATGTGTGTTTATACATGATTATATGTGTAGATAACCTGTGTAAATAATGGTTAACATGGTATCAGTGTTGTTCGCTTTGCAGTGTAGTTCTCTCTAACACTTGCATTGTTATTTTACTTAAAGTTTAGATGATCACTAAACCTATAAGCCATAACGAAATGGGAGATGCAGAATGGACAGGCTTTGGCCTTCAGGAGGGATAAACCCGCTCCAAGGAAACGGAAGTGACGTGACCTCTGTCAGAAGGTAAAGTATAGAAACATATGTACCTATTACTTATTATTCACATATGATAAGTATATTACTGAACATTTACAATTTACTGGTGCAAATATTATCAATCAAAGGATTTACACTGAGTGACTCACTCCAGACTAAAACATAATGATGATAGTTTCAGATTAAGAAATGCCTCATGCATACATTTTATATCACACCCCCAGTAGTTACCCCCAGAGCCCAGCCTCCTCCCAAGCAGTCTCTGGGTGCTGTCCATGTACGGCAGGGATATCCTCTCCCACATGGACCATATCAAGGCCAGCATCACCTCCACATTTGGTTCCATCTTAAAGATGGACTCAACCAAAAAGGTCAAACATAACGTGACTGTGTATTTGATTTCCGTGTTTGTTAAACTCTCTTATAAACAATAACATTACAAACTAGTTTTTATTATAAATGTGTTTGGTTATAAATCTGGAAACATTAACTGCTATAGATCATTTCTAATAAATGCCTCAACTTCGCTGTTGTCACATTCCAGATCACAAAGCATCAAAGAAAGGTGGAGATGCAGCTGTTCCCTGCTCCACCCTCTGGCCCTCAGGTGGTGTTGCAGCTCTTCCCTGCTCCACCCTCTGGCCTTCAGGTGGAGATGCAGCTCTTCCCTGCTCCACCCTCAGGCCCTCAGGTGGTGTTGCAGCTCTTCCCTGCTCCACCCTCTGGCCCTCAGGTGGAGATGCAGCTCTTCCCTGCTCCACCCTCTGGCCCTCAGGTGGTGTTGCAGCTCTTCCCTGCTCCACCCTCTGGCCCTCAGGTGGAGATGCAGCTCTTCCCTGCTCCACCCTCTGGCCCTCAGGTGGTGTTGCAGCTCTTCCCTGCTCCACCCTCTGGCCCTCAGGTGGTGTTGCAGCTCTTCCCTGCTCCACCCTCTGGCCCTCAGGTGGAGATGCAGCTCTTCCCTGCTCCACCTTTGGGCTCCATGATATTTACTCCAGTGAGCTCACAGGTTCCTGTCCTGGTTGCTGCTCCACAGGCTCTGAATGCCAGCCTCTCTCTGCTTTTCCTGCTCCTAGTCCTGCTCCTGCTCCATACAGCCAAACACTGACCCGCAAATACTACCCAACACGTGTGGAGGTGTGGGAGCTTTGGGACAGCGGACACTGGACACAGCCAGTGCAGGGAGTAGTGAACTACATTGTGCCAAAGGAGCAATGGTTGGAGGACATAACAAAATGTATATCCCCCCACCAGAGGCATGGACACTGGACACTTAGTTCGGTGTATAGTTTGATATTTATTTATATATATGATATGTATATATTTTATTAAGTTTATGATAATGTTTATTTGATGTTAAAACCCATTTAGAGTGTTATTTTGTTATACTGCACCTTACTTACTTGTATGGGTTGTTTTACATTTTATTAAGTTGAACTACTTTAAAATAAAGGTTTGGTTCTATCAAGTACGTGACTGTCCAATAATTGAGTGGAGTGCTATGTTTAGAATTTCTATAGGTTTTCTCTTTGTTTGTTAAAAGAAATACATTATAACACCAATACCTTCTTAGTTCATATTAAATGTAATGGTTACATTTAAGTATTTGTCCACAGCACACAAACCATGAGCAGGTCAATATTGGGTACTTCAAAACTATCCCTGATAAAGAAAATAATAATAATTGTATGTAATAAACTTGAAAGAAGTAGATACGTTTTACTTAATATGTATTAGAAATATATAATATTTAATATAAATGTGTTAATAGTTAACTGCATAACACAAGTGTTATTAGTCAACAAACGCATACGTTGTTGGTCTTTATTAAAGTACTTCTGTATATAAATACTTTTACATGCAGAAGAGAAACAGGGAGCAAGAGAATCGTTGTTCTCCTCTTTTTCCTCTCTTTCTCCCTCTTTCTTCTTCTTCCCCCTTCTACTCCGTTCTCCCCCCCCCCCCCCCCCTCCCTTTGCAAGACTATTGTTCCCCAGCTTTGGCGCAGTGATCATCAGATCAAGGGGGGTGCTGGGGAACTACAGTTCGAAACCCGCCACTGCGTCAGGCCGTTGTGTCCTTGGGCAAGACACTTCACCCGGATTTGCTCCTGTGGGTAATGTCCACAGTACATGTATGATATCAATGTGTACTTGTTAAAGCGCCTCGATGACCTCGAGGCGTGAAGATGGACGGTGTGGCGCAGTGCGCTGTGCAATGATCATCAGATCAAGGGGTGAAACCCGCCACTGCTGCGTCTGTAAAGCCGTTGTGTCCTTGGGCAAGACACTTCACCTGAACTTGCTCCTGTGGGTATTGTCCACAGTGACCATTGCATGTATAAAAAATATGTGTAATGTGTATTTGTAAAGCGCTTTGAGCATCTGGAAAAGCGCTATAATAAATGTAAGGAATTATTATTATTATTACAGTGTAATATATATATATATATACAAGACATAAACATCTCCCTATATGTATATAATTGTATATTAGAACCTTCACTAAGTATATGTTGACGCTAATACCTATTTAGCTTTATGCTTTTAAATTCAGGACCTTTATTTGTAGAGTGTTTGTACATTTGTAAACTTTGGTATTATTACTTTAACTAAAGTCAAATATCCAAATAGTCCTTGCACCGACTCTGTCGAGCTCAGGCATTAATAATAATACTATTTTGTATTAAAAATTAATAACAAAATGTATGTACTTTCCTTTTGGAAAAAATAGTTGTGCATTTTGTTGAACTTTTAGTAAAGTTGCTTGGATGAATATGGATTTCTGCCAAAACAAATTAATATAGCTGGAAACCAAACTACAGATATTCTAGACACTTAACACTTAACATGAATCCAGGAAGGAGGAGCTCAACAATAAAAAGCGTTTGGTTTTCTGCACCATGACTCTCAGGATGATGCTGGATGATAGATTGCTCCTCAGCAGGATGGAGACACACAGAGGCTGCCGCCTCGTGGTGGAGGAGCAGTCCTGCACGAGGCCATGAAGCCAGTGCAGCCTCTCTAAGGTTGTCACACAAGTACCATTTATACAAACAAAAAAAATACCTACCATCTCATGACGACGTACTGTGTGTGGATAAACTGAGAACTTGTGGCACTTAATTAAATTGTTTAAGTACTCTAATGGATTTTTAAAGTCATATCAAATAAGTTTTTCTCGTTCGTAGTGAAGTGGAGAGTAGAAGGGATGTTTAAGTGAAATCAAATGATCATAAGCTTACATTTTCCTCTACTGGGCGGACTGGTTTCTGCCAATATCCAGGTTGAACGTTAACATTGAGATGACTTCAGTTAACACCTGTGCGTAAAGTTTACTGAGCAAACATCCTTGTGTAAGTATTGTGTAACAGAACGAAGCCACGGAGAGGCATGGGTTAAATCTTCTTGCTAGAAAGTTTGACTTTGCGTAAGAAACTGGGATTTTATAAGTGAGCAGGAGAAAGTCTCCAGCCCTCCTCTGCTCTCCCCCTGAGGACTGATATGGTGTTCTGTGTCAGAGCTGCACTCCTGCTTTTCATCCACTTTCCACAAAGCAACATCTGCGCGTGCAATTCACACCACAGTCTTATTTATCACTAACTTACAGGAGTGACTTGTTTTTTCTAGTTTAATTGCAATGGCACAATGGTCACTCTTATTGTTATACTTTTTCCATGGACAACTTCCCCTCATGTTTGGGCAGCAGCAGCAGCGCACAGTTGGCCCCTGGCGGAACCGGATCCAGTGGGAGAACAACGGGCAGGTTTATAGTTTAATGAGCACCGGCTCAGAGTACCATGCTCCGGTTCGGTCCAGAAGCCAGTCGAGGGTTTATGTGAGTGGCAGAAGGGATGGCACCTGGAGCCAAATGCCGGGAGCCCATAGAAGAGCCACTCCGATAAGACCCGGACAGGCTGAGTCCAGACAGGTGAGGACTGATCAGCGCCCTCCCGGAGCTGCAGGTTATGTGGCCACGCGGCGCTCAATCCCTGTACACCCCAATACCGTCAACGCCTCTGCACCAGGAAGAGTTAGAGACCTACCCGTGAGGAGAAGTCGTATGGATGCTCTGTACACCAGAGGAGGAGATCCGGGGCCCGGTGCGCAATACCAGCCTTTACGCGCGGTGCCAGAGGCGATGGCTGTATCCAGGCAACACGCGCATACCGATCAATCCATCTCAGCACATCCAACCAGTCTGGAGAGGGTACCTGAAGCCCCTGCTTCTTCCACTGCACTCAGTCAGGCTGGTTCTAACGAGGCAAATGCTAACGGAGAGAACATGGCTAACGAAGAGAACATGGCTAACGACGACCCTCGAAACCCATTAAAGAACCACAGAAATTCGGTTTTCTACAACCCATATCCCACCAGAGGGAGGCCATCGGCCCGCAACCGCCGTCCGCCTGTCACAGGTTATGGTACAGGATATTTCCAAAATGGTAAGTTAAGTATCATAATCATGGAACATGTAAAGCCTTCTTATTTGCATGGATTCAAATTATCATGGCCAAATCTTACGTTTGAATCATCAGGTGTTATTTTAAATCAATGTCTCACTCAAGTAAAGGAAACAACTAAATTACAAGAAGGGATGACATCTTATTAGGGCTTTGAATCCTGATCTGGCAGCTCAGCGATATTAAACACTTATAATTAACAAATACTAACAGCTGCTCGTATACTTTCAACCTGGACTCTATTTCAATTAATTATTCTAAGCAAGAAACACACACCATATGGGAGATAGTAAGCCTGTATACTGTGTAAACTGTCCAAAAGGTGCAAACACAGCATTAGGCAGCATATTCATCAGTCTTTTAATGTGCATTATAATAATTTGCATACATTGCCAAACAATAGCCTGAATGTAGCATAGCATTATCATCCTGAACTGTAAATAATCATTAAATATATTGCATATATAAATAAACATTGATTGATTGATTGTATTTACATTTTTCTAACCTCTTAACTTTCTTTCTTATGGCCCAAGTCAAGTCCTGAGTACATTTGGTGAATAAAGTGACCATGACTCTAACCATAAAGATCTCAGAATTACAAAACCCTTTGTCCCTTTAACCGTCTCCTCAGGACTGCCAGACCTCGTGCCAGACCCGTATGCCATCCAGGCCGGTGCTTATATCCAGCGCATGCAGATGTTTGCACTCCGCTGTGCAGCCGAGGAGAATTGTCTAGCCAGGTGAGCTATTGTGCCAAAATGATTCACTTCACCAGAATGTAGACACTGAAGCAGACACACACACACACACGCACACACACACACACACACACACACACACACACACACACACACACACACACACACACACACACACACACACACACACACACACACACACACACACACACACACACCTATACACTCAACACACTGGCATTTCCTTTGTTTTGGCTGCCCATTGAACCTTAATTTGACTTGTTTGAGCAATATCTTTGGTTGTTTAAGGATAACTTTCTATTACGTATGTATCACTTTTCAATGTTGCATGACAACTGTATTGTTGATAGGGTTATTATGGAGCAGTGATTGTCCAACATGATGTCCTGTCAATATATTAATGTTCTGGACTGGTTTTCCCAAAAGCATTAGGCACAATGGCAAAATAAAACGTTTGCACTCTGACAGCAAGCCATTAGCACTTATGCCTGTTTCTCCTGTGATCCATCCAAGGTCGGCTTATGGACCCGGCGTAAGAGACATCGACTTCAGAGTCCTGCTGCGGTTCCCCCAGAAAGTGATCAACCAAGGCACCACGGACTTCCTTCCTGTCAAGCCCAGATATCAGTGGGACTGGCACAGCTGTCACCAGTGAGTTTACCTAGAATGAGAGTGATTGAACCTGCATGGTAAAAAAACTACACCCTCAGATCGGCCTAATGTGTTTTGTTCTACCCCTTCAGACACTACCACAGCATGGACGCCTTCAGTAACTACGACCTGCTGGACATCGTCACTGAACGTAACGTGGCCGAGGGACACAAAGCCAGCTTTTGTCTGGAGGACACGGGCTGTGAACCTGGATTCAGGCGGCGCTACGCCTGTACATCTCACACGCAGGTAACATACAAGTATTCAGTACAGTGTCAGTGTGTGACGTAAATGTTGTATTATCTTCAATAATAAGGAATTAAAAAGCCTCACTGCCATCTCTAGATATATGCAAAGTTTAAGGTTTAAAATGCATGGTTACAGTATGTGGTTCAAAGTATGGGAAGGCAGTTCCACCAAGTAAAGTAGCCTGTCCTCAATACTAAATCTCATAAAAACTCGACATTTAAGTCACTTGCCAGCCTATAACAAACATTACAGGGAGAATGTTAATAACACAGATTCACCGTATGGGAAATGTTTGATTTTTTTTGTTAAAATAAACGGGTAGTAATGAGTACCTGAGTAATTATCTCTTGATCTGAATATAGTTTGTTTGTACCAACTTATAGGGTAAGCTTGAGTTAGCCAATCCTGAAGTCTTGAAAAAAAAAGTTTCATCCTGAAAATCCACTCTCTTCAAATGAAACCACTTGAGTAGTTTTGTCTGGCTTTTCCCACTTTCTCCAGAGACACAGCAAGTGTTTTACAACTGTTTCCACTGTGTCATTTTAATTTGATTTACTAAGTCAAACACAACCTAGT